GCCGACTAGGTAAAAAGGTACATTTAGCTAGATCCGTCAAGTAATAACCGCCCAGTGACGTAGTCGATGGAGCTAGATTTTCTCAGTAGAGCATTTTTGCTTGGGTTGGTTGTTTTAATCACTTGCAGTACTGTTACAGTAATATTTTTGATTTAGGAAACAAAGTAAAACATTGAAGACAGCTTTTACAGATAGTTCTAGATAGACAAAAAGAAGAAAAGTCAGATACTTGCCGCAGCCGTTTTTTCTGATGATCCATCCACATTTAACTTTTTGTCAAAAGTTGTTTTCAGATGTGAGAAACTAGTTGTCTCTTTGTGTTCTATCTAACGTTTCAAAAGTGATTTTATATTTTTGACTATTACTGCGTCTAGGTATGCTGAAAACATTTGAAATGGGTTTTAAACAAAACATAAAATGGTATATGATTGTAGATGATGATGGATATATTGTTGTTAATAACACTTTGGCCTTAGTTAACCAGTACTTTCATGATCAGATGTGGTTACTAGCTAGTGTTTTATGTCCACATCCATATAATCATGGAAGTTCACCTTATTTTCTTCGAATCTGTGGCGGTGGTGGCTATCTAATATCGTCAAAGATGGCTAAATATATTTTACCCAGTCTACCAAAATGTTTCAATTATACATCATCTAAATGGGATAATGGTGATATGAAATATGCTTCTGTAATGCTTAGTGTTTGTTTGACTGAATTATTAAATGTTACTTTAACACATCGACATGAATTTAAAACAGTTTCACCATTAAAACAAATTACAACAAATAATAACAACACAATTAAATTTAGTTTTAACGAAAAAAATTTAAATAATCCAGTTACATTTCACTATGTGAAGCCCTGGCAAAAACAACTAATAGTCTGGAAATTGTATCATGGCATTGAAACAAATCTAACTGTAAAGAACAGTTCTAATTGGTTAACATAGAAACTGTGCATGATCAATTTTTGGCAGATTATTCTTACAAGGTAACGTGTTGCAATGAAGGCTTTGGTAGATGTTAAATCATTCGATAGAGGGTATCGAGCTGAACACAAATATGTGTTCTTCAGTTTTTCTGGAAACTGTTTTTGGATCGAAAAAATCGAAATACTCGAGATGTGTCAAAAAAAACAAGGTTGCAGAAAAACGGTTGTGATTTCTCGCGTTACGCTTTCTAGAGCCGAGCTAAACTTTTTTGGATTCAGCATCAAAAACTGAATAAGAAATTTGTTTCAAACATTTCTAGAATCAAACGTTTATTCGCCAAAAATCCCGACATTTGCGAGACCGAAAAACTGAACCCGATTTTGCAAACCTAACACAACTTTTTCTAAAAGTCCTAGAGCCAAAATTTTTACACAGTTCGATTCGCCGAACTCTCCTCTTCAAAAGTATACGGACAGTTTTTTCAAATTTCTTTTCCTCGCTGAGAAAATTCATTTTTTCTAAATCAGAGACGAAATGTCGGAGTTCTGCCCGTAATTCTCAATTTGCTCCATCAGAATCCAAATTTTTAGCAAAAACAAGATCATATCCGAATCAGGACCAAAAACTGAGTCGACTGATGTGTATTTCCATCCTATCCGGGTACTTTAATTTTTTCGAGTTTTCACGTTGAAGAATAGGCGTGTACCATGAGAATGCTGTCTTGAGAATGACTGAACATATTAAGTTACAATCAATCATCAAAACAGTCAACTTTATGATCAACGACTTTGAGCCATTTTCTGGTAACAAATTGGTCCCCCGGGCATTGTATTGTTGCAGGATGACGCCTCTTCGAGAGAGCATTGCGAGATCAACTCGGTGCAGCCTGGCCTGTACCCGGTCCAGTTGGACGTAATAGATCTCGGTGTTGATTGTACGCCCCCTTTCGACCAGCTCCCAGTAAATCACACCACCGCTGTACCACCAAAAACACAGCATAGCCCGTTCGCTATGGAGCAACATCATTTTCTATTTTCTATTAGTTTTTTTCATCAGAAGAGAAATGAGAAAACACGTTAAATGATGATTTTTGTAGCATAGAGAGTGCTCTTTCGAATGGTATATTGGAAGTTAAATTTGCTTCTGTTTTTTGTACCAAAATACAGCTTTTTCTTAAAGAGACTAAATAAGTTGGTCGTGCTTACTACCTGGCCACTTTCCAACGATAAAAAATTTTTTTTGAATTATTTTTTCTGCAAAATTTCTACGCCGGGGCATATTTCTAACAAATAACGCAAACAGAAGTGAGTTCATACATGATTTCTGAAGATGGCTGATTTTCTTGCAAAATGATAGTTTTGCAAAAGGCTCGATTTTACAAAAAATTCATGTTTAAAACGTTTTTGATTAAAGAATCAAGAACGGATCTAAAAATTTTACCAATGTTGATATCGATAGAGTTTTTGATCCGCTACATTTTGGTGCATTTCTTGTTCAAGTTTGATCCATGGAACTGGAAATAATTGAGAAATACAAACTTTTCAAGTTGCAAAAACGTTGCAAGGACTTTTTCAGTGGTGTTTGGTTTTTGACTTTTCCTCCTTCTCAGATTCGTTCTGGAAAAATATGTCAGGTACAAAACTTGTAGTTCAAACTTTGCTCTTTCCAACAAAAGAAGTTTGATTGATTTAGAAGTCAAAAATACGGTCTAACAGAGTTTGACATTTTGCCATTTGCACCATATGTTATTACTGCTGTGCTTCCTGTAAGTACTACTGAAATCAAACGAGTATGTGCAAAGTTCACATTCTCTCTTTGTTCTTCTTCAACTACCAAAGGACGACGAATGGACAGCAGATATGTAATACTGTCCCTTGAATATATTCTAACGGCTAGGCTGCTGCTCTTCTTCTTCTTTTGTTTCCTATAGCTACTTGCTCGCCTTCCTCCTGTGGCACGTTGTCGTGTTCATCAAATTTGAACTGCGACTGTCTTCAACTGGCAAATAGCAGCTCCAGAGGAATTTGTGCCTGTGCAGCTGTCGCATGTGATGCCTATCTTCCATGCTCGAATTCAGCTCAGGTTTTTTGGTTCAGACTGATTCTTTTGATAAGAAGTTGAGCTAAATCACTTAGTTAAAAAAATGGTATGTTCTCCTCAACCTTGGAGTATTATATGATTGATGCTGCAGCTGAATCGGTTAAGTTTTGGTCGTGGAAGCAATTCATGTGGTAATTACCTCAAACATGAAATTGACAGTATAAATCTTACACTTTTATTCCGCTAAAAAAATTATTATCTGCATTAGAGCTGTTACTTTTGATAGGAGGATTTCAGAAGAAATGACAAATGGACTTCAGATGCGAGTAAATTCACATTTCCTTTATACTGTTCCCTGGTTTTTTTCTCTCTGTTGTTCCATCTTCCTATTAATCTCTATTTATATATTTTACGCTGAGTGACACAGAAAATCTATTATAGATGGAAAATTGTACATTTTCTTTTTTCATAATTTTGATCACCCGCACAAAACTGCCTCGCACGGTGATGTCAGTAGCCATTCCGTATTTTGTTTTCGATTACTTTATATATGGCCGGACAGCGCGGAAGCTAAGGATCAAGAAAACCATATTTAGCATCTTTTCAGTGCACCTTATCAGGGAAATCAGTTTTTAACGCTGAATCCGAAAAACAACTTATCAAGGTTTCAAATTACTCCGGGACGGAGATATTGAATTTTTTCGGAAAACTACCGATATTTCAGAAAAAAAACTCTCTGTATTTTGAATTTTTTTCCCCTGATAAGGTACACTGGGAAGGCGCTAAATATGGTTTTCGTGATCTTTAGCTTCCGTGCTATCCAGCCATGTGTAAAGAAGTCGAAAATAAAATAGTGCTGAGGCTTCGAATTTGGAGCGCCTGACTTTGTTTCCCGATCTGATCCCGTTTATACACTTTCAGAAACAATTATATTAGCATCGATCCGCGTGGATCCGCCTGGATACCGGATCCGCTTTGCCCCCCATGACTATAATTCTATGAAGTAATGTAATATCACATATCCTCTGCTATGGTCGAGGATGCTCAGAAATTTCTCGAATACTCAGATCTCCGATACATATTTAGATCTGAGCTTGTTTAGAGGGATATTTTTTTGAAAATATTTTTCTATTGTGATAAATCGGAACTGTTACAAGAGAAACATTCGAAGTTGTAGCATAATTACAATCAAAAGACAAAACTTACCGGACAACATTTTTCTGCAACTTGTCCCTAGCCCGTAAGCCCGAGCCTATGAAATTTTTTCCTTGCCCCGAGCTCATGAGCCCAAGCCGGGGTGGGGTGGGGTTCGGGTCTTCCCCGCAGGAGTCTACCAGGAAGTCGGTGAAATTTTGAAATTGTCACTACCGTTCTTCCACCATCTGGTTTCTTTCGTTGTACGAAGCAATAATGTAATTGTTTTATTATTCTAATGTTACAATCACGGCAAAAACAAAAACAAAAATTTTGTTCCTTCGGAAGTAAGGTGCCCGCAATTCAAAAATGCAGCACTATCTTAGCTTTCGGTCGAAAGCTATATATTCAGATACTCCTGAATGCGCTGATTCCGAATATCACCTTTTTATTCGAATTTGATCAAGTTTTTTTTGCCCCCTTCCGTTCACTGTAATTTTTTGAATTTGATATATTTGGATTCCCTATCAAAAACTGAGTCTAATCGTGTATCTTCGAATCACAAAAAACAAAATACCTGTGTTCCACAATTTTGACAAGAGTAAGCATTCCAAAAAATGAGCTAACACTCTCGCAAACCTATCTCCTCCCTGGTTTTGAAACTTTTCTCCGATCGTCATACGTCACTCGAATCGCCATTTAAAGTTGAACAAAAGTACGCATCGCTTTTTTTCCTGAACCTCTTCTCTTGCTGAGAATACCGATTTTTTCCAAATCAGAGGCAGCAAAATAGGAATCGCACTCCTAAATCACCCTTTTCTGCACTATAATTAAGTTATTGTGCAAAATAAATATCATATTCGG